GTTCGGCAGGCTGTTCCGACTGAGGTGTTTCGCCTTGTCCTCTCTTTATAGAGGGAAAATTGGAGTTCAAAAAAGTCACTTAAATCAAGTTCAAACGGTAAAATAACCACACCAGGAGCAAACAACACACGTCTGGAATAAGGTAAGCCATTGTTAGTGAGAATTTTCACTTTTAACTACCTCCATGGATATCTTGTAGAAAATCCCATATAAACCCTTATAATTCGATGCCATATTGTGTTGCTTGTGTGGTGCATAGAGAGAGCTTGGGCTGCCTGTGCTCTCAGAGGAACATTCATCATGTTTTGAAATTCACAAAAGAAGAGGATGATTTTCTAAAGGAAGGAATAACTAAGCACGGGTTTGGACAGAGGACTGCTACTTTGAGAGATGAAGATTTCCAATTTCAAGACGGAAGAAAAGCGGGCTCCCTAAAGAAACGGGCTGGAATGAACATGGCCCTAGCTTAAGGTGGATCGAAACAGTTTAAACATCTCCATCGTGACATAACTTTGGTATTGGATCTCAACTACACCAGAATTGATAAGGAAAAAAACATTTAGTACACAATTCTATACAAAAACAAAAAAAATTATAAATTCAGATAGCCATGGTCTCAACATTGGTTGCCATGGCAACGACCAAAGAGGTTAAAGAGACCCTATTTCGATCCACCTTAACAAACTTTAATAAATGAGATAAGAAACTGTAAGCACAGTTGCACCTAAAAAGACATCTTTTAATTCGGGTTTCACTTACATAGCCTCTTGCAAAATTTGCTTAATTCACATAGTAATCAACCTATGAGCTAATATGCAATCCACGAAGGAAAAGAAAACGATTCTTGACAGACAAATCAAAGTCTGCTTACCATTGGACTGATGTAGCATAAAACCAAACTCTTAATCGCCTGGCTGTTTAGTTGTCTACATGGAAGTCTTGCTCTCTTCATGTTGTAATGATTTGGTCAGAACAGAACGGAGTTGCTCCTGATTTATACAAATCGACGCTGTGATATCACGGGGCATAAATTTGAAAGTCGCACAAACTTCAAAGAGAAAACAAGCAGAGTTTAATTTGGTATCTAACACTGTGACACTTTTCTTAGTTCAACAATGACTTTGTAGCGGCCCGTCAAACGCTCTGAGCTAAAAATAATCCTCTCATGTCCATCGCATCAATTTTCTTTCATAATTATCCATCCAGATAATAGGTGATACCAATTTCATTATCTGGTGATTACATCATTTCAGCTGCAGTTGCACTGCACTTAAAGCATGCGAACAGCAAAAACAAATGACCTAATCAAAGGCACTGATCTCACTGACAACTACTTGGTAGCATCTTTTTCATGAAACAAATGCTGCTCATTTGAGTTCAGAAGCTGTGAATCAAAGTATGATTGTTTAATTTCAAGGTCAAGATCAAACTGCACCGATAAACAATGGTTTACTGTGCAACGAAAACAAATATCTTCAGCAAGAGTTGCCCATTGAGGCTTTGGTTAACACTAAAGGGAACAAAACCTCCAGCAAAATCAAAACATTTCTGTACAAGGGCATATCTAAAAAGCAAATTTTTTGATGGCTATGTAGAAAATCATAGTAGACTCGAAACCTTATTTATTTTTCAGCTAAAAGTCCTCTGAAATGCTAGTGAAGTCCACAAATGCAACAGTTATTACAGAAAATCAAGCCAACTGCAAACAAAATATTCTTCCTTGTACATTTCTGCAAAATCCGTAAGATCCGACCTATATACAGTTTTTTGTGAGAGCACTTCAACTTATAGTTTGACGTGACTGTTAGCTAATTGGTAATATTTCCTAACAGCAAGAGTGCTATAGCACTTCAACTTGACGTGACAGCTGCTCAATTGATAAGACTTTTCTAACTGCAGCAGATTTCACAGATTCTGCGGATATAATAATTATCATTACTAATACCTCTCTTTTTACTGTAAGTGTCTAAGATTGTAATTATAATAATAATATAATAATACTACATTACTTTTCTTTTTAACTGTAAGTATATATATTTAAATAACAGCATTTCCGCAAAATCCGTGAAACCCACTGCATTTGGATATTCTTTGAGACAGTCTGAACTTCCAGTTTTACATGGCAGTCTGACAAGGAATTCCGCCAAATCCGTGAATTCCGTCCTATTTGGATCTTTTTGGAGAGGGTTTGAACTTCCAGTCTCAAATGGCAGTCGACAACTTAGTAAGATATTCTAATTACGACGGATTTTAAGGATCTAGCGGAGATATGAATATGTTAACTATGTATTCTTCTCTTTATTACTGTAAGTATCCCTTATAAATATTAAATATATTCTAAAAGACACTTAGGGAACAAGGACATTTGGGAAACGATCTTTTCTCCTCGCCCATCCTTTCTTC